GCGAGCCTGCGAGGGGCGGGGCGCTGCGCAGATGCGAGCGCGGCGGGGGCGCGCACAAGGGCGAGGGCCGGGAGCTGCGGCGGTCGCCTGGTTGCCGCCCTCAGTCGCGGTCTCCTTCGACGCCGAGGTCCCAGTCAAGCCGCGGCGCCCGCTCCTGTCAGAGGCGTCCGAAGCCGGTCCTCCCGGCGGTGCGGAGACAAGGCCGAGCTGACGGCCGCGGGCAGCTGAGGCGGCGGGGAGGAAGGCGGCCGCCAGGCGGAGGCGCACGTCCGGCGGAGTCCCGGAGCCGGGAGAGGCTGAGGGGACCATGTCCAGCGGGCACTTCCCTGTCTCCACCACCGAGCGCGTCGTCAAAGGTGCCGAGCGGGTCGGGCCTGCGGCAATGGCCTCGGGCGACGGCTGGGGCCGGGAGGGAGCGGCGGAGGTGGCGACCGGGCAGCGCCCACCTGGGCGGGCCGCGGCGGGCCGGCGTTTTCGGTGGCACCCGCACCTGCCGCCGGCTGGAGGCCTGCAGGTTGCCGGGCTCCCGGAGCGCCTCTCCCAGGGCGCCGGGTCTTATTTAAGGAAGCGGTTTCTTCTTTCAGGGTTCCTCCTACCTGGAGAAGCTGGGGTGGACCGGTGTGGACTGGACTCTTCCAAGTCCCGACTTTCTTTAGGTTCCGATCATTCTTGACACCCCTTAGTCCCCCTTTTCGGTTCTTACACCATGTGTCTTCTGGCCCTCTTTCTCCAAGTCATTGCATGTCACTACTGTTAAAAGCCAAACTTAATGTGATGACACCAGTAAGTCCATTTTATGGTGTTTGTGAGACGTCTTGACACGATGTTGAGGCTTTATTTTCCCTTTGGCTATACAGACCAGGAAAATAATGTTTTCTGATTCATGTATCTACCTTCGTGAGATTTTTGTTGATACTGGTGTAAGAACAAAACATAAAATGCTTCTTTCTAGGCAGGCGCTTAATCGGCTGAGCTGTCTCCCCGGCAAAATGCTTCCTTCTAAATTTTGTAGGGTTTTTGTTGTTGTAATTCTTTGTACCCTTAGCAAGTGCTGTCAAATATAACCACTAATTCTTGTGCCTCTTTTGTCCAATTGTAAGACTTAAGCCCAACCCTTCTCACTCTGAGTACTAACAAACGATTTGAAAAGCACTATAAGAAGGGAATATACTTAGATGAGTTTTATTGGTGGCCTGTGATGAACTGATTAGCATCATTTTGGGAAAAATTATTAAAATATTGTACTTTGTCCCCTCTTCATTGTGGTATTGGAAGAAGAAAGGAAACTAAGATTGATGACAGTAATACATGTTTTTAAAAATGGGGAAAGCCTGTTACATGTTCAAAAGGCAGAAGAACAGTATCTATATCATAAATGTTAATTATCTACACTATGTAACACTAAATATGATTTTTTTTTTTTTTGCGGAACTGGGGATTGAACTCAGATCCTTGCGATTACCAGTCAAGTGCTTATTCTACTGAGCCATTTCCCCGGCCCTAAATATGATGTTTTATATAACGGTATTTTTAATTTTTATTTATTTATTTATTTATTTTTATTTATTTTTGTACCGGGGATTGAACTCAGGATCTTGTGTTTGCCAGGCAAACGCATATTCTACTGAGCCATCTCTCGGCCCTATAATGATATTTTTTGAGACTTACATTTCAACATTTGTGTGGTGTCATTTAAGGATTTAAGTAGAGATCTGATATAACTGACACTTGCCTTAATAGTTAAATTATTTGGATCATTTTAAGTCTTCACAATATCTAAACCATGAAGAGCATATAGCCCTCTTTTAATACTCAGAATATAACTCTACCTAACCCTTCTGGATGAATCAAGATCATCACTAAGTACAATAACTTATGTACCATGCCATTAACACAGCCATTGCATCTGCTGTGTAAGGGCGTTTCCTCTGGTGCTAAGATGACTCCTCTCAGCTGTACCAGTTAAGTGTTAATATTATAGACAGCTAAGCTAGGTAAATATATTATAGGCAGTTAGACAGGGCTAGGCCCTCGAAAGAGTCTGCAGAAGATGAGGCAATATTATAACTGTAACTGGAGGTGCATTTGTTGAAGGCCAGGCCTTCCCCAAGGATAAATAATAATGATTGATATTCTAAATAGGCATAGTTACCTGGGTGGGGGGGCCAGGGCTCTGACCCCCCCCCCTTCCTGGGAAGGTCCTTGTTCTTTCCTTGCACACTTGATATATGACTTCTTCCCCATTAGATCATTATTACCTAAGTAACTGTTCTTGTAATCTTACTGGTTAAGCCTAGTTTTACCCACCTTCTGATTTCCTATCCACCTGGTGATTTTGCTCTATAAAGCTTTATTTGGGAGTGGGGTTGTAGGCAACTCACTTTCTAGGTCCTCTTCTCTCTCAGACAGAAGCTATCTTTCCTTCAATAAATATTTCCTGCTTTTTTTTTTTTTTTTTTTTGTGTGTGTGTGTGTGTGTGTGTGTGTGTCTCTGGGAATCAAACTCAGGACCTTACTCTTGTCAGGCAGGTGCTTTTGCCACTGAGCTTTTTCCCCTGGCCCTATATTTCCTACTCTTAACTTCTGTTGTTCCTTAGAATTCATTTTTCAATTTTGGGGAACACTAGCAGGCGTATCAGACATCTAGCACATTGGGAATATTTAATAATATATAATATACGATGTGATATATTTCCCTTATATCATTTGGAGGTCCTAATATCATTGCTATATCATATTATCTTTTAGTACTGTTCTTTCAAAATATAGTCTTTCTGCTATCTAATCCCTTCTTCTAAGCTGAAATAGGAAGGAAAACCAGATGGACAGGAAGTGCCCCTTCAAATCAGGGTAGATAAGATCAGAGTGAAGTTTAGAGACAGCCTTCCGGCCTTCAAGAATCTCAAAATCTAATCACCATGATACCCTGTGATTTCCACTGTATCGTACCACAAGATGTAAAGGGAATTTTGTGTTTTTGAGACAGTCTTGCTTTGTAGTTCAGGCAGGCTTTGAACTCACTGTGTAGCGCAGGTTGGCCTCAAAATCACAGTGATCCTCCTGCCTCAGCCTCCAGAGTGCTATAGTCACAAGTGTGCACCTCCACACCCTCAGAGACTTCATGTTGCGAATTTGTTACTTAGCACAATTTCAAATTAATGTATTTTAAAACTTCTTAAATAAGACATTCACAATTTCAGGCTCTTATAATGTGTATCTTTATTCACATATAAAACATATGTTCTTTAGCATAAGAACTTGAGCACAGCAATATTGGCTTCTTGGTGACAGTGTCATTTCTCTTCCCTCAGTGATCCCAGTTTCTATGAGTTAAATAGTTGAAGTTTAAGAAAATAAAACCAATGCATGGGGGGGGGACTATGTGAGTAGATAAGGAATATTGTTTTGAGTAGTAAAATTCTGATCTGATGCTGTCTTGTCTGGCCTGAGATGTCTGTATTTATTCACAGCTGGAAAGCTTCTTCAGAGGTGATACCACACCCCAGTTATTTTTAGTTCTGTTATTTCCTGTTAACTTTAAAGTCTGCTTAATTGTTTTGTTTGAGCAAATGTTGCAGAAGAGTGGGTGGGTGGGAGTGATTTGTATTTTAAGTGTCCTCTAAACACAGCTTTCTGGAACTGAAGGACTAAACTATAGTCAGAAAGCTTCACTTGTGCTTCAGGTCCTTGTTTATGACTTTGCTTTTTTTTTTTTTTCAACTTGTGTTTTTACTTAAACTTGCTTTTCATTTAATGATCTCATTTGTAACAGTACCTTTCCTACCAACCCTGGGTCATGCAAATGACCTGGAAGTACAATATTATGAAACATGATAGTAATTTGACAATAGGGCTGTTTCTACATAAATAGTAGTTAGTAGAGAAGTCATTAGCACTTGAAATATATCCAAATTAGGAAGTGTATGAAATTATGTTAGGAGGGCCTTCCTAGGAAGGGAAATATCTGTTGTGCAATATAAAGGTTATCAAGTGGCATTCCATCAGTAACAATGCTGGCTACTTTTACACTTGAAAGTGTTTATGTTTAAAAAATCTTATTAAGTGTTTATTGGATGCCATCTGTTGTGTACCTTAATGTGCTCATTTGTTTCTTCTTTGCTTTGAAAGTAATATTGCTGCTGGGTATGGTGGTGCACAATTTCTGCATTAGGAGGCTGAGGCAGGAGGATTGCCATAAATTTTAGGCCAACTTGAGTTCAAGGCCAGCCTGCACTGCATGAAAACCTGTCTCAAAAAGACGACAACAACAACAACAACAACAACAAAGTGGAAGGGAACAGTGACTTTATATTCCTGCCTTCTTAGTACTCTTCTGCATTCCCATCTGCTGGTGTATTATGAATTAAAAGGAAAATGGATCATACCTTAAAAGCTTTTGTTTTAAAAATATTTCATATTATTTTAGTATAAGTTTCATAACTTTAGCTAAATATTTCCAGGATGGTTTCAACCAGGATGGTTTCATGATGGTTGGAAAGTACTTATGCTAGTATTTTAGTTATGTATATATATATATATTATATATATAATAGTATTTAGTTACATATATTTTGTTTTTGTCTTTTTGAGGCAGTGTTTTGATACACAGTTCAGGCTGTCCTTGAACTCACTAGGTATCCCAGGCTAGCCTCAAGCTATAGCCACCACATCTGGCTCTAGGTTTATAAACTTTATGCAAAATTATAGAAAATGTAAACATCATGCAAAGAGATGATATAGAAAGTGAGATGTCATGTATTTATTTTATTGAGACTATTTAAAAAAGGTGGTTGAGGGATAAATATAAGCACTAGTAAATAGGATTTTTTTGTGTGTTTCTATCCCTGTTGTCGCTCCACTTGCCCACCTAGTCAGGTGACAAGCCAGGGAGTGAGGTCAGCCTCTTCTTCCTTCATTGCACATCCATTTCCAGCCCAGAAAGTGCCATGGGCCTTGGATTTCTATATAACTGTTTCATTCCTGCTGTTGGTTCACGCTTGTGCTGTTGCAGTACTCTCTCAGTCCTCTCTCTTGATAGTGCTGCTTCCTCTCCATGCTGCCCTGGGGACCTGTGAATAGTGTAAAGCATCCTTCTTGTGTTTGAGATCTCTCATGAGCACTTCTTGCTATGGGGACAGACTCTAACTTAATTGGTGAAGAGTGATGCCCTACATACCAAACCTCTCTAATTTTGTACCCCCTTTCTCCTCTGTATTTCACACCCCATCACTATCCTCCTTTTACCATCACTTTTTGTTCTGAGATGGTTTACAGCTGTTAATGGGCTGTTTACATGACATTTGTGGAGAATCTTGTCTCATAGCTTGCTACATCCCAATTTATTTATCTTTTCAGA